TAGGGCAGAGGGGCCTGGCCTCCCCTAGCTACTGAAAGATTTTACAAAAAAAAAAATTTAATTAATAATATTTTTCAACTCAAAAGTAAATATGCATACAATGTAGTTATTTCAATACATTTTAAATTATTTTGTAAATAAATAAAATCAAACTTACTAATGCCTCCTAATTTCATTTGCGTAAGAAGTTGTGACGTGACAAATCTGCATCTTGGCAGATAATAGCCTATATTTACTGTGTGCCTGTTGCACGGCATCAATGGATATTCACTCTTTTTACAACGTACAACAACTGCAGAGAAATCTGGACCTAACCAAAATAAAGTTGGATGAAGATGCTGATGCCGATGCCGTGCTTGATGACTCCAGACCTGGACAGTTATTTAAAGGTGATCTGCTGAACGCTCCATTGTAGATACTTGGTGTTCTACATTTTTGTCTATTTACATACTAATGTTATTTAATATACACAAAACAAAACCTAGACATAGATTTTATAATATAAACTGCTTAATCGGCCAATTTCAGTAAGAATTACTAAATTGTAAGTGTTGGTGTGCCTGCTATTGTGCATTTAACTTGAATCATGTTCAAACAGATATCTGTTTTAAAGCAGTGGGTGAGAAATTCACTCCTTGATTTGTTTAATAAAAGCCTACTTTGATATTCTGTTGACAAACATGTTTATAGTGCATTATTTTCCATGTGTTTATTTCTAGCGCAGCAAAAATAGACATAGCGCCAGTAATTCACGTGAGATGTATCTGGTTGCCATGACAACCTCACGCACTTGCTGCTGCTCTATGTATTCACAGTAAAAACATGGAGTGTGAATTTGTAAGTTTACTATAGAAAAGCTAAAATATATTTTAATGTGTGACTGACCAAATCGACTGGCTTGGCTTTTGTGAATTTTGATTTCTGTTTCATTACAATGGCAAGTAGTAGCCCTTTGCAACAAAGGGGTGGAAGATTACAAAGAAAATCCAAAAAAGTTTCCAGAAATGTTTATTGCAACCCTAATGGCAAGCCATTTGCCAACTTAGCAGACATTACAACCATTCCGTGTCAGATATTTATGAAATATCCATGCATGTCTGACAGATTTTGATAATTGAATGGATAATTTTGCATGTGATAGCTCACACAATGAAAGAATGTTTAGAATTTGTGAAGAGTTTGACAATTTCACTGAGAATCAATTAATCAGTTTTGATTGACAAGCCATATGCATTTAGTAATTGTGCAAATTGTTGACAATTGTACTTAATAATTTACACACGTGTGCCAAAACACATGCAATTTGCCAAAATCAATAAGAAATTCAAATCTGATGTGAACAACAAACTAGTTGTTCAGACATTTGAACTTATTGTTTTGAGAAAAAAACTCGAGAAGTGAGCCAAATCAATTGAGAAAAACTGTAAAGTAATGGCAAAAAAGTGCCATTGCCAACGTGAAGTGCATTGTTCAAACTCCTCAAAACCTTTTACATATGGAGAACAAGTCATTCTGAGGAAACATGCTTAATTTCATGAATTTCAGATGCTCTGAGGTGTAACAGCAAATTAAAAGCTATTATATCTTAACTGACAGATGAAGAATGTAATATTAAGGTTGTCCAAAAAATCTTTTAAGCCTGATCTTTCTCCTGTTTGTTTCCATCCATTATAATGACAAATAAATGCATAGAATGAGTTGATATGTACTGCACTGTCAATAAAGATTTATATAATCATTTTATAAATGCTTATAGATCATTAAAATATTTATATATCCCACCCTCTCTGTGAGTGTATCTGTTTCACACTCTTGCAGTTCTAGAGTAACCCTTTCATTGCTGTGACTCAATAACCAGACTGCCAGAGGGTTAAATGCACTGGGGTGGGGGTGCCGCAGGGGCTTGGGCCCATCATTGCTGCTTGCAGCTATATTGTTATAATGATGTTTAATGCTATATGCATTGTGTCAGGTGGTTATTTGTCTCTGCATAGTGCATTAAAATTGTTTAATGAACACCTAGATGTGAATTATCCTTGTTTTTGCACATTCCAGACAGTCTGTGTATTATTGGTTGGGATTTTGGGTGGGAATCCTACATTCAATTTACTTGGAAACCTCCACAAACTACCACAAAACATCCACACATGCAGGACAAAAAAATCTTCATTGTCTATAAGAGCTCCAGCTTCAAATCAAGGAGATTTGTGTGTGTGTGTGTGTGTGTGTGTGTGTGTGTGTGTGTGTGTGTGTGTGTGTGTGTGACCTTATTATCATGATAAATGTTGTGCAGTGTCCCAATGATTGTGTTGATCAATGAACAGAACGTTAATAACAGCATGGTTTTCTGAAAAAAATTAAACATTTTTAAAATACAGGAGAAGGCTGAGTCACATGTATGTTTATCACAAAAGATGTATATTATAAAGTTCATATCACAGCACAGGCTGACTGTACTGCCTTTAACGAACAGGTCTATTTTATCTACCCACTTCTTATTCTTTCATTTTACAGGCAAATTAAAACTGAATATTGCATGTGTGCATTGAAAATGATGTTTACTCCCCACCGCACTTTCTAAGATTTCATCCTGTTATTTGAATTTATAAAATGGTTTGTGCTGGTCTAACAAGGGAGAGACTTGATAGATGGGAGCTAAAAATATGTACTGCCATAGCTGTTCATTTTAACTTCATTTAAAAAGCCATTTAAGTCACTTTGGACTCACTAATAAACAGGAAGAACATGTATTTTTCTATTAGAGATGCAGTTGAGACATGTACTCTAGGGAAGACTCCAGAGCAAGTTTGTTTCACCAGTTGACTGCAGCATCCATTAAAGGGTCAGTGTACTGGTCTAAGACTTTTAACGGCCCTCACACCGGCTTTCAGCACTATGGGGGAGACAAACTTTTTTTTAAACCTACTGTTTGTTTAATTTACTGCATCATAAGAGAGTGTTTGATGTGAATTTGTGCCAGGATTGCCTAAAGGGCCCCAAAAGTATCCTGAATAATTACTGGACTGAAGGAATTATTTAATGACAAAATGCAGTTATACTTTAATACATTTTGTACACAAAAAGACAAAAGCCAGTGACATTACTTCCTTCCCTTGTAAAAAAAAAAAATTGTAATATAATATTAATGAAATAAAAGGCCACTTTTAAAAAAGTGGACTTTGTAATAATGTCAAATTAAAAGTTTAAAAGTACATTCTAAATCATAATGTTTTGTCATGCTTCAAGGAATTTGACTAACATACTAAAGAACATGTAAAGTACTTGTGTAACGCCCCTGTGGACTGTTTGTTGTGGTTTCTTCCCTTTGTGTTGGTTTAGCCCGTCTAATCATTAGTTAATCACCTCATTGTGCTCACCTGTCTGCACCTCGTTATCTGCACTATATCTGTTCATGTCTCTGGTATTTGAGGGGAGTGTCCGGTCCCGAGCCAGAACCAGTCCGCCGCCGTCCGCGGCTCACTCAAGCCCGAAGGACATTAATGTGGCAAGCCCGAAGGACATTACTGTGGCAAGCCCGAAGGACATTAATGGGGCAAGCCCGAAGGACGTTAATGTGGCAAGCCCGAAGGACGTCAATGTGGCAAGCCCGAAGGACG